TGTTAGGAGTGCTGTGTTTTTACACTACTCAGTTTAGCCCACACACGCTGAGTGGGGTTCTTTCACCTTAGTTTCACATAGCCTTCTGGTCGTTTCTCACGAGGGGGGTAGAACGAAAGGGGAGCCGGGCTTGAAGCGTGCTTCCTGTAGTGAGCGCTAAGACGTTCCTCCACCAGAGGTGGATAAATTTTTGTTTTCACATGCAAAGTTTTGTTGTGGAATGCAAAACAAAACAGGGCGTTGTGTTTTGGGAATTTTGCGACACATGTTTTTGCATGCTCTGTGAACACGTGTTTGCACATGGTTCAGGTGACAAAAAATTTGTTCCTAGCTTGCCAGTTCCCACCGCCCGGTGGACGTGCGTGGCTGAAGCTCATTCCTTGAGGTTCTGTCAGCTCTCTAGGCTCTGTGTTGAGCCCTGGACCCTGGATCTAGCAAGGCCAGGACTTTGGATGGGCGAGGCCGTTCTTTGCTTGCAACTTGCTACTGTGCAAGAGAGGCTGGCTGAGCAAGACCAGCAAAACTTTTGGTGCAGTTTCCACATCCAGCGCTTGGAAGCTGTGTGGAGCGACTTGCAAGCCCTGCAGTCAGCCGTAGCCAGGCAGATTCACACCGTGCGCCGAACCCTTGAGAGTTCTTGCTGTCTTGCCGCATTGGCGTTCTGGAAGAGCGCCTCGAGGTCGCCTACGTGCATACTGCTGACCAGGCCGACACTGTTGCGGTCTGGAGCGTAGCGTGGCTGCTCTTAGGGCATTCTTGGCCCGACCGCTGCTTGAACTGGACTGGCACAGCTGTCCCCGTAATGCATCCAAAGCCTCCCTCTGACCCAAGCTTGCCCAGCCCATAATAGTTGGGTCATTGCCTTCGGCCCAGCGTGGGCGGGGGCTGAGGCGGCGGGCCTAGATGCTACGTCCTCTGCCACCATGAGGGATGCTATCCAAGATTCTACTTCAAGTCATGGTGTAGTGGATTTGGGGATTAAGATGCCTTGGGAACTTCCGGGTCTTGACGTTGTTTTCGGTAATACTCCTGTGCATGCTGTGTCTGCCGAGAAGGATTCCAAAGTTTTACCTAAGATTCCCATTCCTTTGCCGAGCCCCCTTGTTGACCCCTCTCAGGTTGCTCAGCCGGCATTGAAAAAGCCAAAGGTCTTGTTGGAAGGACACATCTTTCACAGGGCTGTCAATTTTTCTGAAACGGCCAGTGAAGACCAGTTGGTGCAGCGCAGGTGGGACAGGGCCATGGAAAAGTGGTACGTCATCATCTGTCAGAACAAGTCGTGTTCCTTGATAGGTTCGGACATCCATGACAAGCCTTTGCCAGAAGCCCTCATCTTGATTCGCGAACTCTTTGGCAAGAAGAGTGCGGCCACTGTCTTGAAGAGGGGTTACAGTCTTATTAAGTTTATGGACTGGGCTAGGAAGAACCTTTGCTTGGATTCGGTATTTCCTTTTCAAGGGAAAATGATTGATCAGTATCTTGCCCATTTGCGCAGTTCATGTGCCCCGGCGAGTGCTCTGAGGAATTTCCAAGAGTCTGTCAACTTTGCCATCCATGTGGTTGGGATTGTGTGGGACACGAGCAGGGACCTTTGGAGCCCGTGGGCAAAGGGCGTAATGTCCTTCATGGATCTGCAAAGGAAAGCAAGACAGCCTAAAGTAGACTTGACTTTGGCCCAGGTACGTTTTCTGGAAGCTTTCCTGCAGGACGACACACAAAGCCTGATCGACAGGTGTGCAAGCGGGGCGATTTTGTTTGCGCTCTTCTCACGCAGCATGGCGTCTGATCTCAGAGTTTGCGAGGACTGGCGTGTGGACCTGTCTTTGGAAGATCCGTCCGCAGATGGATTCATTGAATGCACCACTCGATCACACAAAGCAGCCAGGCAGGTAGCGGTGCAGGCAGTCAGCGTGCCGTTGGTTGCAGCGGGGCGTGGAGTGTGCAATGTTTGTTGGGCTATGGTTTGGTGCCGCGTTGCTGACCTGGTAGGCCTGGGGTTTAAGGATAGGCAGAAGGGTCCTGTTCTCCCGGCGCCTAGGGCCGATGGAGCTTGGAGTGCCAGGTCTGTCACCTCAGGCGAGTTGTGCTCTTGGTTGAAGGGAATTCTTGCCAAAGGTGGCTTGGACTGCCCGGGGATCGGTAGTCACAGCCTAAAGCACACTAGCTTAGCGTGGTGTAGTAAATTTGGTATGGGAAAGTACAGCAGGACGCTGCTGGGGCACCATAGCTCAGGCAAAAACAGCGTCAAGGCTTATGCCAGGGATGTTCTTGCTCCTGCCTTGTTGGAGTATTGCCGCATGTTGGGCCAAATCCGTAAAGGCCTTTTTGTTCCTGATAGCAGCCGCTCGGGGAGGTTCATGAATTCTCTGTCAGAGCCGCTAGGCCCGCCAAACCCAGCCATTGGACGATCTGAAGTTATGTCTGACATCGCGCCCTTTGAGGAAGGTTGGGCAGACTTAGGTGAGCACCGACATGACCAATTTTCAGAGCCCTTAGCCTTGGAGCAGAAATGGTATGCAGGTGCTGGGAGCCAGCCTGGGTCGGTGCAAGGGTCACAGGCCGCGCAGTCTGATGTAGCCTTGCCTGAGGAGGACAGCGAGTCTTCCTCCAGCTTGTCTTCAGAGGCCACACATCTGATGGGGATGCCGCAGTAGCAGCTCCAGGTTTTGCAGCCCAGGTTCAAGGTTCGCCATGGCAACCGAATATGCAGTTTGCAGTTCACAAGAGGTCTAAAACTGTGCACCTCATCCCGATGGGGGATGCCTCTGAATCTTTCATCTGTGGTCGCAAGATTTCTGACGATTATGTTCGAGTGGACCGTGCTGTGTTCTTGGAATCTAGGACTTGCAAGCAGTGTCAGGCTTCCAAACCGCTTAGAGACAAGAGTAGCCTCAGTGCCGCTTTGGATTCTCTGCGAAGCCGGGAGCCCTAAGCAAAAGGTCGTGTGACCGCCCGGGAAGGTGCCCGAAGGTATCGGCGCGACAGTCCGACGGAGGGCGGTGCCAAGTTTTTGTGACAGCAGGTGGTGAGAGCACAAAATGACGGGTGTCATGTCTAGTGTTTGGAAGTGATCCTCATGTGAGATCCGGGCAGGTGCCTGCGATTTCAATTGCAAGCAAACTAGAATCATTGTGATGTGCGCGTGTTTGCGGTGAATCGTTGTGATGCTTTGTACTAAGCGCTCCATGGCTGCCAGTTTAAGGACCAAATGGTACACAGGCTATGTAGGTCCGAGACATGGCGGATGCTCGCACATTGACTGAAAGCACTGCCGCGTTTGAAAGCAGAGCGAGAGAGGTTGGGCTGGTAACAGCAGAGACCGATGCGCTAAAGACTGCCGGAATCAACTCTTTGGCACGGTTAGCCTTTGCCTTGTGCCCTCCAGGTCAGACCCCTTCTGACACTCAGGTGGAACAGGTCCTGGGGAACCCGGCATCTGGGGTGTCCGCCGGCACAAAAGCAGCGGTAAAGCGTCTCGTGTTTGAAGCACATACTCTGATAGTGGCAGAGCTGCAGCAGAAAGTGAAGCATGGGGACGAAGGAGTGGCGTCCACCTTAGCACATGCGGAGAGAGAGTCGAGATATCCCGTTTAACTGGCCTTCTCATGACTGCCGATGAGGAATGCTCTCACGAAAGCTATAATATTGTTCATTCCATGATGCAACACGACGTGCTGCTCTACCTTCATCCAGAGAAATTCGCAACGAGGCGTTCGGAACGTCAGAGCAAGAAGAAGGAATTGGTCCTGGACTCGAAACAAACCGTGTCAGTCCGGGATCGACCGTTGGAGTTGCAGTGTAGTGCATCCACAGAGCTTGAGATGACCCAGGCGATGCTGTTAACCTTGGTAACCATGTGA